GGAAACAAAATCATTAAGGGCACATATTTATAACATCGTATTCAATTAGGTTGGAAGAGTGTAATTTCTGTCATCGTCTCATAAAAAGATGTGTTTTTCTCTCAGATCTCCTCGAAAGGGAAGCAGCTTCTATTGTGACAGATAGGGACTGTTTTCAATCAGTTACAAGGAGCAATCTAATTAAGAGATGGTTTAGTGCAGTAACTGACTCCAGACTAATTTGATTTCTTTAGGTCTCTAAAGATCAATTGATCTGATTTGTTTTCCCTCCCCAAAGGCTATTTAGGAAAAAAAGGAGACTGAAATGCCTCAAAATGAAATCCAAACCCTTGGCTGCTTTCATGTGACTTAGGTCATCTTGTGAACTCCCAGCTAGGCAGCAGCGAGGGCTCTCTTGGGCCGCGGTTGGAACACCAAAACATCCTTAGCGTTGGGGTGTTTGGGGGGGCTACTTCCATCGTCAAAAGCTCCCCCCACCCCGCTGAATGGGAACTCCTGAGTGGATTCAAACCCTGGAAGGGACCTTTGAGGCCATCCTCTCACGTTATCGATGATAATAATAATAATTACAAATCATAATGCACCGCATCAGTGTAAGCTAAGTATTTTCTCCACGTAATCTCATTCGATCCTCACAACGACTCTATGGGGCAAGCCCTGGGGCCAGGAAGCTCTGGGTTCAAATCCTACCTTCGATACTTATTAGCTGTGTGACCTGGGACAAATCACTTAACATCTGCTTGCCTCAATTTCCTCAACTGTAAAGTGGGGCTATTAATAGCCCTTACTTCACAGGACTGTTATAAAGATAAAATGAGGTAATATTTCTAAAGCATTTTGCAAAGCTTAAAGCACTATGTAAATGCTAGTTATTATTATGCATCATGTACTATATGCTAATAGTGTATTATTATTGAACTATTATGTTTGCTATTATTATACTATTATATATTATATACTATTACATTACTGTATAATTATGCATTGTATGCTGTTATTACCCCCATTTTACAGATAAGGAAACTGAACCTTAGAAAAGCCCAAAGTTCTGTGGTTAGTAAAAGAAAAGGGGATGAGCATTTATATAGCGCCTATGGTGTGCCAGGTACTGTACTAATCACTTTACACATATTATCTCACTTGATCTTCACATGCTCTCTGTGAGCCAGGGGCTATTAGTATTCCCAGAGTCACCCAGCTAGGAAGTGTCTGAGGCTGGATTTGAACTCAGGTCTTCCAGAACCTGGGCCCAGCACTCTATCCACCATGCCACCAGCCACTCTAATACAAGGAAACTGAGGTCCGCGTGGTGCAAAGTCACACAAGGAGTAAACGTCAGCACCAGGATTCACACAGGTGCCCTGTCTCCCCCACCTGCAGCACTGCCTCTGGAAATGATTGGAAAGACTGTCCTCATGGATTCTGGTATCTCCAAGGCTTAACCTTCATGTGCACCTGGACCCAAAAGGATCATAAATCCAGAGCCATAATAGACCTCAGAAGTTTTCTAGTGCCACCCCTTCGTTTTATGTTTGGGGAAACTGAGGCCCAGAGAGATGCAGTGACCTACCCAGATTCACACAGGTGTGAAGCGTCAGAGTCCAAACTTGAACCCAGGTTCCCTGACCCCAAATCTAGCACTCTTGCCTCTGTACTATGCTGAATGTTTTGTTTCCAGGAATAGCCTTAGAAATACTACCAGGGGTATCAATAAAATGGCATCAGAATTCCATTGACCTTGAGGCAGTGTGGTTTATCAAGAATGCTAAATTTGTAGTGAGAGGACCTGGGTTCAAATCCTGATCCTCCTGTTCAGTAACTGTGTAACCTTGAGCCCTCTCTGGGCTTCAGTTTCTTCATCTGTAAAACAAGGATCTAAGATTCACTGAAACAAGCCGAACGAGGCCATCACCACCCCCAGTTCTGTAGACACATTTCACGTGTCAGCTCATTGGTAGGACTTGTCTGCTTCAACCTCAAGTCTCTGTATATTTATCCTGCCTCTCACAAAAGTAGCTTTCCCATGTCTGGCTCCCCGGATGTATTCTCTAGACACACCTTGTATGTGTTTGATAGATACCGAAATACAGACATATTTACATTGCCTTTGTCTGAGTATTCCCAGTCCCAAGCACAACCCTGCCCATAGAGAGCACCTAACAATGCTTGTTAGTCTATTGGTTGATGTGTGGAAGGTCCAGTTATCCCAACTGGTTAAGTCCAATGGGAAGCCACCATCCTCCATGGCGGAATCTCTTTCCTCTACAGCTCTAAGCATGCTTTTGGTGCAGCAGAAACAAACAGTACAAAAGATAGGTCTACGTTTGCATATTTATGCATAGATTGTTGGATTGATTCAATACATATTTACTGTGTTGTGTCTGTTGTTGTAGAGCTACAGCGAGGTGCTGGAGGAGATACAAAGTATAGGGAAGGCACAGTCCCTACGCTCTCTGAATCCCTCTTCTTGGTAATGACCATTCTGGGACCCCACATGATACTTTGCTTTATTCTGTAATGCATTTATTATGATTACAGTTTTATGTATGCTTTTTATCTCCCTGTTTGACTATAAGCTCCATGATGGCAGAAAATGATATTTTTCCTAACCTTTTTTTCTTCCCATCTCTACCACAATTTTCTGAATACAATGGTCATCTGATGAATGTTTGTTGAATTGTTGAATGAATGGGCCATCCACACCCTGCTCCCACAGGCTGAAGTTCTGGGCATCCATCTGTTGGCTGAGCAGTATCTGCCCAAGCTGTCGTCATTGTCTGGAACAGGGGTGAGGAACCTGCAGCCTCGAGGCCTCATGTGGCCTTCTAGGTCCTTGGGTACAGCCTTTCAACTGAGTCCAAGTTTTACAGAACAAATCCTTTTATGAGGGAGATTTGTTCTGTGAAGTTTGGTTTCAGTCAAAGAGGTGCACTTGAGGACCTAGAGGGCCACACTCTGGAATGTGCCCCTTCCTTGTCTAAAGCACAGCTCAGCAGAACCAAGAGAATAGTTTGTACAGAAACAACAATGTAAAGAAAAAAGAACTTGGAAAGACTTAAGACCACTGATCCAGACAATAACCAACCAGGATTCCAAAAGGCCAATGATGAAGCATGCCACTCACCGCCTGACGGAGAGGTGATGGAGTCAAGACGCAGAATGAGACGGACATTTTTGGACAAAGAAAATGTGGGGATTTCTTTTGCTAGATGATGTGTATTTGTTACAAGGCCTTTTCTTTCTTTTTTTTTCAGTTCAGGGGACTGGTGGGTGGGAAGGGGGGATAGGGATAATGTTCCCAAACCAACCAAAAAAAAAAGAGGAGAACCAGAAGGAATCACAAGCTAGCAGGATACCTTTTCAATGTACATATTGAACTTATTACATACTTAGAAAGAAAAGTAAACTCTAGATAATAAAGATTCGCAGTTTCACCTCCAATCCCCTTCTGTTCTACAGTCTATCTGGAAATGCTCATTTTATTTAAGTGTTTTTAAGTTCAGAATAAACAGCAAGGAAGGTGAGAAAGGGGGGAAAACAGAGCTCAGCTGCCACCTCTAACACAAGGCCCTTCCTTATCCCCCAGCACTAAAACAACATCTCATATGCAGTAGGTGCTCAATAAATGCTTATTGGATTGTACTGCTAATGCTTTATGCCTTTTGAAACTAGTTTGTATATTTCCTATTTACTTGTCTGTGTGGACCTTGTATACCCTGGTTTTGTCCTTGTATTTCCAATGATTAGCAAATGTCTTACACATCAGAAACACTCACCTAGGCCTACCCAGAGTATGGGCTGGTTGTTCCAATGCATCCTCAGGGAGCATTCCCATTGGCTCTTACCCTACACTCTCTCTAGGCCTGTGGGTGCTCGCTAAGTGTTTGCTAAATTGAATTAAGTGAGAACAGGACCAAAAGTTGGAAAAACAGATGTTTTCTGTTTTCTTAAAATGCACTCAGAAACTCCGTGAGCATTGAAAAAAAATATGACAATCTATGAGACATTTGAACCAAAGATTTGGTTAGGAGTTCATGACCCAGGTACTAAGACTTCTGTGTTTCTGGGATTTGGGTGTTCCATTAAAAAATATCTGTTAAGCATCACATAGACAAGAGTTCAGTTGATTTATTGTCTTAAATGAGCAAACCACCCTAACTGAAAAGAAGAGGCACCAAAAAAAAAAAAAAATCCAGGGGAGGATATGGATGGTGTTAGTCTTAAGACCTGGGACCTCTACCATTAAACATAAGGACCCCATGAAGCCGACTCTACAATTATGGCGCCATAAACGAGGTCGGGATATAGCACTTCAGGTCTCCACTTTACAGAGAATCATAGATTTAGAACTGGAAAGGACTATAAGCGGCCATCCAAACCCTCATGTTACAGATGGGGAAATCAAGGCCCAGAGAGTGTGTCTCACAATGACTTGCCTGAGCTCACAAACAGCGAGGCCGCAGCTGAGACTTGAATTCATACCTTGCGACTCAAATCCAATGACCTTTCCACTGTACCACACTACCTCTTGCCCTCTTTCCTTCCCACAGTTTCTTTTCATCAACAGACATACTCCAGGAGACCAAGGAATGTAAAGATTCCTTGTCTTTGCAGATCACCGCTTTCCCAAGATGGAGCTTTGCAGCCATCAACAGGACTAAAAATGGGTGATAACAAGAAGAGCCCTAGTTTATGCAGTGGAAAGAATTTCCCAATCATCAAAGTAAACCGTTGAAGATACCCCCTCTGAAAGTTGCACATGTTACAGATCCAGCTACGGCAGCTGTCAAGATTCAAAGCAGTTCCCTGTCTATAGGGCTTATAACCCAAAGGGGAAAGAAGAGATGGAGAGGGAGGTTCAGGGGAAGCAGAGAAACTATTGGCAGCTAGATTGTGGAAGAAACGTATAACAGCTTTGTAGTTGAAAGTAGAGTTATGCTACCAACCTTCTCTTCTGTGTATCTTATCTGCAAGGAAAATAAACAGAAAATCATCATTACCTTTCAATATCAGTGAGCCTGGAGGAGTCTCGGAAACCTTTGGCGAATGGATTGCTGTCAATTTTCAGCTTGGTTATCTGAAAATGAGAGTACATGATGGTATCATGACAAGGGTTAAGGTATTAGAGCATCTGGTCAGCCTGGACTTGGAAGCTCTATTCCTCCCCCACCTTGAAAATAATGTTTCTGGAATGAAAGAATTTTACTAAGTCCTTTTGTTCATTTATTTATTCAACAAATATTGTTAATCTCCTCCCCCACCTGAAGAGGTGTCTTGCATCTCTTTTATAAATGCCTATATCTGTGTTTGGCATTTCTCTCAAAAGAATGTAAGCTTCTTGGGGGCTAGTATTGTTTAATTTTTGTTTTTGTATTCTGGGCAACTAATAGTACATGGTAAAGGCTAGCGGTTTCACTGATATCAGGAATTCCCAGATGAGAGAAGTCCCTCCACCAATGCAAGTGAGTGCCTTCTCTGTAATTAATACTCTTAGAGAGCCTACAAGAGCTCTAAGAAGTTAAATGACTTGCCCAGGGTGACACAGCCCATGTGTGCCAGAAGTGGGACTGGAACTCAGGATCTTCCTGGCCCCAAAGCTAGTTTTCTGTCCACTACGCCGAGCTGCCTCTGACATCTCAAAGATGCTTAATAAATGCTTTTTGACTAACTGATCTGCCACAAATTAGGGAAGCCTACAATTCTGATGCAGGCTCATGCTTGTGATGGATCTAGTGAGACCAAGCTACACAGACCCATTAACCTGGGTAGGCTGCTGTTACCTTACAAAGAGAAGAATCTATACAAAAAGCACCAACTAAGAGAATTCCAACCCTTAGACGCTGTGAAAAAGCTCACACACAGGCTCCTTTGGAATTCAAAAAAGTAAACAGTGAAAAGCTATGTCTCCTCATTGTATTTTTTTTTCATTTTGACTTATGACTTTATAGGCATAGGGAACTCTCAGTATGGAAACTCCCTCTACCGATGCAGATCAGCAACTGTACTTCCCTGCTGAAGAAAGATTCCCAGAGAGCTGGTTGGATCAGTGAGAGGTCAAGTGATCAGTTAAGGTCAAGTTCAGTAGGTGCCAGAGGGGAACTCAGTCTTCCCAGCTCCAAGATTTCTCCCTCCACTATGGCGCACTGCTTCTTCTACACGCCGAGGAACACAAATCTAACAAAGCCTCTTTCTGAACAGCAACCAGTTGGCACTCGCTCTTCTTTTTCATTTGTTAAACCCCGAAGAGGTTATGTTTAGTCACGAGCATTATCAATGATTAATTATAAATGATCAATTATTAATGCAAATGTTATTAAATAGTATTCGCTGTTACATCGCCTTCTAGATTACAACCCTTGAACAAGATTGGGATACAATGCATTAGGTCTCCAAATTTCATAGCATCACAGATTTAGAGGTGGTAAGGTTTAAAATGACCAGCCAGCCAGATAAATGAACATACTGAGCCCCACTGAGCCTCAAACGTGGTTTGGTTTGGATGGAGGGCTGATGACAGCTAGAAACAGCTCATGTTCCTCTCCCCCAAGAAGTGTTTCTGAATCATGACTTCCAGTAGACATGGTGGCCAAAAGGGTCAGGGGGCTAAGGATATTTGCAGCAGGGAGTTGACTCTTCTCATTTAGTCTGGGATTGGCTTTAGAAGGTGAGCCTTTGGGAGGAGGAACGCTTCTTGCTTTAAAAAAACTTTTTGGAAACACTCATTGCCTTTAAGATTTGAAGAGCTCAATCAGCTTGTAACACCCTCAAGAAAACAAGAACACAAGTATTTATTAGGCCACCACTATGTGCCAGGCACTATGCTTCTTTTCAATTTATTCTGTGTGTAGCTCGTTTCTCTCATTAGACTGTGAGCACCTTGAGAGCAGAAAGCAAAAAGGAAAGGGGACAGCAGAGGACGAGAGGAATGGATGGTGTCATGAAAACAATGAGCATGAGCTTGGACAAATTTTGAGATAGTAGAGGCAGAAGATCTCAGTATAGTGTGCTATGGTCCGTGGGGTCACAAAGAGTCAGACATGACCAAACAGCAACACCAACCGGTGAGGGCTAGCCTTGGAGTCAAGAAGAAATGGGTCTAGCTCCTACTTCTGACATACACTGGCCATGGGACCTTGGGCATGTCACCTAACCTCTCAATGCTCCCAGGCGATACCATAGAACTGTAAGTTGTAAAGTAAATGCCAGTCTAGCTTTTTGGCTGCCTTTTGCCTTTGTTTGTATCCCCAGAAATTAGCACAGTGCCTGGCATATAGTGAGCATGTAATAAATGCTACTTAACTGGCAGAGGTTGCTGCATAAACTAGATAAATCTCAGGTCTGGACAAAAATAAACAAATCAATGTACTAACTACCTCATGGGGCAGTTATGAAAAATATGCTGTGTAAACCTTAAAGTTCTAGAAGAGTGAGTTGCTGGCAGATGTGTGTGTGTGTGTGTGTGTGTGTGTGTGTGTGTGTGTCCTTTATACTCTTTTCCCAAAGAAATATTACCAGCAGCAGTTTGGTTCTCACACTACTTCATAAACCCCTCTAGAACTCAGGATGTAGCTGAAGGTCTCATTGAATGATGGTGTTTGAGAACTGGAAGAGATTGTAGAGATTACAGAGTACAATTTTTTCACTTGATAAATGGAGAAAGTGAGTCCCAGAAAAAGTAAGTGACTTGACCAAAGTCACACAGCTTGTTAAGTAAAGGCAGAGCTGGGACAAGGACCCAGCTCCTAGTAGGACTCTTTTCACCAACTCAACTGCCTGTCTCTAACACTTACTAGAGACTTTCATTCTTTACTGTTGATATCCACCAATCAGCATGGCACCAGCACATAGTAGGCAATTAATAAATCTTTGTTAAATTAAATTATATTGCAACCAAAAGACATAAGGAAGTCACAATTAAATTCAAGGATGATTCACAAGTTGTCCTTGGAAAAGCAAATAGAGGAATGGGTGGAAAGGTTTCTTTGTATGAGCAAAATTAACAAGAAACATCATTTACAGGACACTTGGCCCTCCTCACCCAGCAGTGACAAAAGACCACCATAAAGTCATTACAGCTTCTGCAACAACATCTATTGCAAAGAATGATGAGATAAAGAAATTCTAAGAAGCATTTGACAAGATCCTCAAAGGCAAATCAACATAAATATTGGCACTTAGTAACTTCGAAGCAAAGTTCTATGTAGAGGAAGAGATTTGTTGGATAATACAGTTGGTAATTAAAACACAAAAGAGGTCAAAGGCTGCTAAGAAGCCTCATGCCTAAAGATGATGAATGCTTTCTTCAAGCAGAGTTAGAAGGTGCTGGCCTTGTGACTATTGAAGAGTTTATCTTAAAAGACAGGAAATGACCCATTACCAAAGTGAAGTCATTCAAACAGCTTCTCTTGGGGCAGACTGCTGTCAAAGCAAAGTCAAAAACAACACTGATTTAAGAAGACACACAGTGTAATTACAACAGTTCCTAGCTGACCTATTAAAAAGAGACACTGTGACAAAACCAGAAATGAACAAGAGAAGTATTGATACAGATCATCACCCCTGAAGATCACACAGCCAATCTATGCTGAAGATAGGACTGGAACCCAGATTTTCTTGACCCTATGGTCAGCTCTCTACACTGCATCTCGCTAATAATTACTTTTCATGGATTTACCTTTTACTTTTGTCAGTTTGTTTTAATTTTATGATAAAGGTTAAAATGTATAAGTGTAAAGTTCGAAAGTATAATCAATAAAAAATCTAATAATTTTTTTCATAATTTTTCATTCTGATTCTGTTACTAGTTGTTAACACACATAAGGGCAGCTGGGTGGAGCAGTAGATAGAGTGCTGGGCCTAGAGGCAGGAATAACTGAATTAAAATCCAGTCTCAGACACTTACTATCTGTGGGATCCTGGGCAAGTCACTTCATCCTGTTTGCCTTAGTTTCCCCATCTGTAAAATGAGCTGGAAAAGGAAATGGCAAACCACTCCAGTGTCTCTGCCCAAGAATTACTGGTTGTTGTGGACTAACCAACCCTTTCTTCCCCTTGTGCCGTTGGCCTCTGGAGGCTCTGATGCACCCATCATGCCGAGGGTTCCTAGAGCCTTAGAGTCTTAAGAACTTCAGGAAAGATTGTAATACAAATTCCGTTCAGCAACTGAGATCTTTCCCATCTTACTAGAGTAAGTGTAGTCTTACTGTCTCCTAGATCTGATTAGGGCTTGCAGATATTAATGACATCCCATCACAAAGTAAGACTAGTCCCCAGAGACTGTCTTACCAGCCACGAAAAGAAGATCTCCTCAAAAGCATTGAAAAATGAAGCTTAACCTATGCTTCAACTCTAGAGTAGTGGTTTGACTGTTCAAACAAATGCATGACCTTTACATCTTAAATTATGAGATAGTTTGTTGAAAGTGTAATGTATTTAACTCTTATCTAATAATGAACAAAAATGTAATTAGCCCTTTGCAAAAGACAGGGGAGAAATGGCAAAAAAAAAAGTTTCCATTTTTATTGCTCATAAATAAAACTCCTGGCATACAATAAATTAGAAGCAATTTCAGAATTTCTATTGGGAAGTTTAATTTGGTTTATAGGAGTCATGAAAATAAGCACTCATTTGCCCAGGGCTTAAACAAAATTAAAATGGACCTGATGAGAAATGGCAGTTTGTCTCAATTTCCTCATCCGTAAAATAAGCTGGAGAAAATTATGTTAATAAATTATATTATTAAATATTATTCTCCTTTTCTTTAAAATTATGGTATTAAACATTATTCTCCTTTCTTTTCTATTCTTGCTTTTTTTTTTCATAGGAATCTATGCTTATTTTGTGGCAACAAGATGGCACCATCGTCATGGAGCAATGGACACAGATTCAAGAAGTCTTGAGTTCAAATCCAGCCTCAGACACTTACTGGCTGTGGGACCATCGGCAAGTCACTTAACCTCAGTTTGCCTCAGTTTCCTCATCTGTAAAATTGGGATAATAATAGCATCTACCTCACAGAGTTGTTATGAGGATCAAATGAGACAATAAAATAAATAAATAATAGAAATAAATATATTATAAATAATAGAAATAAAATAATAAAATGAGATGTTGTAAAATGTTTAGCATAGTGCCTGGCACATAGGAAGTGCTATATAAATGTTAGCTATCATCATTAATAATAACAATAACAATACAGCCCTCAGGCCCTTCCAAATGGATTTCATATGACTCCCCTTCACACACCCTATGTGCCTTCCAGGCTTTCCTCCCAGCTCTGCCCCAAGCTCGGTGCTTGGTTTACCACCTCCCCGCCATCAGCTGTTCCTAATACCTGGAACGTTCCTCACATGATGATGATGATGATGATGATGGTGGTGGTGGTGGTGGTGGTGGTGGTGATGACTGCATTTATAGAGCACTTCAAGGTTTGCAAAGCATTTAATAAATATTATCTCATTTGATCCTCATAACAACCCTGAAAATAGGTATCGTTATGATCCCCATTTTACAGATGAGGAAGTTGAAGCTGAGAGATTAAGAGACTAGTCCAGGGTCACACAGCTAAATAAGTATAGGAGGAAGGATTTGAACTCAGGTCTTCCTAACACAGTACCATACAGCTTCCTCTATGTAGATCTCTTAGAATTCTTAGCTTTCTTCAAGATTAAGCCACCCTGCTACCTCCTATGGGAAGTATCTTCTGATACCCATCAGGCTAACATTCTGACCCTGTCAAATAATTATGTACATGCTTCTCTGTTTACATGTTTCATCCCTTCCCTGCCCAGCAGAATGCATTCTTCTTGAGAACAAAGACTGTTTCATCTATGTCTTTTTATCCCCAGTGCCTAGCACAGTGCCTAGACCATAGTAGGTGCTAAATAAATGCTGTTGGACTTTGGAAGTAAGGCCTTAGGTCTTGACTTTAGTCAGTCCTGGATTCCTAATTTCACTCAAGCCCACTGTAGGGCTAGTCAGCCTGGACATTCTTCCTGGTAGATCCATAAACTGTCCAAATAACACCACACACTGATTTTTCACATGATGGGGCCACAAAGAATCAGTCCCTCAGACACTAAGCATTTGTTAAACAGCACACTATTGGCCACAGTGCCAGGCCCTGTGCTAAGATCTGGGGATTGAGAGAAAGGCAAAAGACAGTCCCGGCCCTCAAGGATCTCACGGTCTAATGGCAGGATGCCAGCCAACCTTGGAGCAGCTAAGCACAAACAGGGTGCGTAGGCAGGATAAGGCACTAGCATAGGCTGGGGAAGGGCTTCTTGTAAAAGGCAGGACTTTAAATGGGACTTGAAGGAAGCCGGGAAGCTGGGAAGCAGAGATGAGGAGGGAGAGCGTTCCAGGCCTGGGGTCAGGCCGTGGTGATGAACAGTAAGAAGGTCGGGGCCACTGAATCACAGAGTGCACGAGGGTGAGGCTCAAGGGGACTGGACAAGTGGGAAGTGGTCAGGTGGTGAAGGGCTGTGAATACCAAACACAGGATTTCCTGTTTGATCCTGCATAGGGTGAAATAAGATCCTGGATTTGGAGGTTCTTCTGTCAAATTTTCGATCAGAAATCGGAATTTTGAAGGAGGAATGATTGCTTTTGGACCCGGGTTCCTTGAGGGCAGAGACTCCTTCAGTTTGGTCTTTGTATTGCCCGCACAGAGCACAGGTCTTAGTGTGCCAGAGGCACTTAACCAATGGACGATGGATTGAAAGGCAGAGGCTGTGACTGATGCCCAAAACTCAAGTTCCAAATACAGCTCAGCCAGTAACCATTTGTGACTCACCCACGTGACTCCTCTGGGCCCCAGGTCTCTCTTCTGTAAAATGAAGGGACTGGGCTAGTTGACCTCAGACGTCCCTTCCAGCTCAGGATCAATTGTCCCACAGATGGAATTCAAATGCTTTTTTCAAACCCTCTAAACTATATCAATGGTCATTTCCATGGGCCTACATTCTCATCGTATGACAGAAAACTGGCCAAACCAAGAAATCAGAATACCTGCATCCAAGGCATTTACTATCTGGCCTTAGGCAATCCACTCACCCTCTCTGACCCTCGGTATCCTAATCCGTAAAATGGGCAGCTAAGTGGCACAGTGGCCTGGAGTCAGAGGGACCTGAGTTCAAATTTGACCTCAGACACCTATTAGCTGTGTGACCTAAGCAAATTACTTCACCCTGTTTGCCTCAGTTTCCTCATACGTAAAATGAGCTGGAGAAGGAAATGGCAAGCCGCACCAGGGTCTTTGCCAAGAAAACCCTAAACGGGGCCACTGACACTCCTGAAACAATTGAACAACCACAACAAAAGTGGAAATTAATAGCGCCTGCTCTAACCGCCATTGAAGTGTGTCTTTGATGAATGTAGACCTACTATGAAAACTGTAAAGGCACCAACACCAATACCGGGGATTTGTATTTAAACAAAAAATGATGAGGAATGCCCGCCTATGCCCAGTAAGCAAAGAGGGGAGCTACACTGTAAGCTGTCCAGACACTCAAAAAGTTCACAGGAGAAGATTCCAAGAATCATGAAGTTAATGATCCAGCATGGTGCAATATGACATTAAAAAGATCAAAAGGAAAGGAAACAGACGAATTTAAGGCAGAAGGGAGAAAGGTCTGTGAAGCTGGGTCAGAATGGGGTAAAGAGGGAATACAAAGAAGATGATGGCATGGCAGCCCTCGAGCCCCATTCACACAATGCCCTGAAGTACTCTAGGTCCGACAAGCTGCTAGCTCCAAACCGGGCTTGTGTTTTATGGGTGAAGTAGGTGGTCCCCACCCCTCACCTTTTTCATGTCGTAACCCCTCGATGTCCAGCCGAAAGGAAGGGCCAGCTCCAAGCCATAGTACGCGCTTATGGGTGATAACCAACATGCAAACTGCCCACTCACCAGCTGATTCTGGTAGGCAGTGACAGCTGTGAAGACGGTCTCAGGGAAGATAAATGTCCTGAATTCTTCAGACTTCAGATTGAGCAGGGAAGCAGTGTGGTCCTTCTTCTTGATGATGTGGACTCTGGGCTGGTATTTGTGCATAGAGTTCAGAATAATCTAAGAAGAAGAAGTAGAAAACATGGGCTGAAGGTGACAGCCCCATCAGTTTCAACCAGACCTTATACGAATTAATGGAGCCAAATTTTAAAATATGGATTTTTTAACAGTTCAAAATAGGCAAGCTTGCCATCTTAGGATCATGGATTTTGAACTGAACTGTCCAGATTAAGTATCCAAGTTTCAATGGAATATTCAATTACTCTCATAAAAGCATATCATCAGTACACATACTTCCCCAAACCCAAGCATATCAGAACCTCTTTGTAATTTAGTGGATGGTCCTTATGAGTTGCTGTAGTTGAAAATTCACCACCTTGCATTCAGTATGGTGATGAGCTTGTCTACTCCAATCCTCTTATTTTACAGTTGAGGAAACTGAGGACCTGAAATATTAAAATGTTGGTCTAAGGCCTCACAAGTTGTAAGCAACTGACCCAGGATTTGAACCCAGGCCCCAGGACTCCAAATCCAGTGCTCTTTCAATTGTACCCTAACTATTTAGATTTATAGTCACCCTAAATATACAAGGATCTGGGTTGCTTGTTGTTGGGTTTGGTTTTTTTTTTTTTTGCATTGTGCTTCACACATTTAGGTGTTTAATAAATGTTTATTAAATGGCACAATGGGGAAGTGTTCTGGGTTTGGAGTCAGGAAATCTTGGTCCACATCCCAGCTTTGCCAATTACTCCCTCTGTGACCTTTGGCAAATCACCTGCCTCAGTTTCCACCTCTGTAGAATGGGGGGGTTAGACTGGGTGGTCTTTGAGGCTTCTTCTGATTCCAAATCTTAAGATTTTGAGCATTTTCATCAGGGTGAATACTTCTTCTATTGACAGATCGTTTCTCCTCCACCCTTTGGAAAATAGTCTTTCAGAATTGCTGCAACTAAAAACATCCACTGCCTATTGGCCAAGCACGTAGTGATGGACTTCTCCTCTCTTTGGCTGCTTACAGGTTTTACAAGGCTAGACCTGCCCTGTAGCCTTCCAAGCTTGGTAGAACCTGGCAATTTGTTTCTACTGGCAGAGCCTCGGAGAACCCAAAGCTAGCCTTTCCCCACCAGAATGTGGCATAAGAGTGAGAAGTTAGTGAATGTCATTGTTAAACGACCAGAGATGGAGTAGAAAAAAGAGGAGGAGGAAAAGGAGGGGAAGGAGGAGGAAAAGGAGGAAAAGGAGGGGAAGGAAGAAGCAAAGGAGGAGAAGAAGAAGGAAAAGAAGGAAAAGGAGAAGGAAAGAGCCATAAAATCCACAATTTAAAATTCAATCCATCCTCCAAGAGGCTCTGTGTAAGAATACCATTCTGCATTACCATGGGATGATGTTGAAGGGTCACCTCCATGAATCCTCTAAAAACCAAAAACAATGACAACCCTACAAGCCATGCAGGCATCTCATGGTTCCTTTTTCTGACATTTGGGGAGGGTGGGAGGGGGAGAGAAGACTGCTAGCACCCAATGGAATTGTTGATATCAATTAGGTCATTACATTTCCCTGTGTGTTCTGCCCCCAGAGTTGTTTCAGCATACGAACACTAAGCTCCATGCCCCAAAAGTCTGAATTAAAATATTAAGTGTTTAGGAAGACCAAGTGGGGAAGACCAAATGGCACATGGAAATCTTGACCTAGTGCATGGCCCGTGGACTCACTGGTTTCTAGAGTCATACTGTACTGTTGGGCATAGTCATTTTCCATTCGGATGCTAACAAAAGCTGCCAAAATACAGGTGTTACTGCAATAACACTCGCCAACCAGGTCATCTCATAGTAATCTTTTCCATATTTCTTTTGGAACTAAATACTTTAAGATATAATGAAACCAGGGCAATTTTGAATCACTTCTCCAAAGATGCACATTTTCTGCAGAGACCCTGGTAGCTGGTCACCTTTCCCTCAGCCTCAGGTTTTGTGTTCCCAGGGGACTATGGGCTCAGCCCCAGGTTAAGAGAGACAAATGTGGTCAGAGGACCTGTGTTCAAATCTAGACTTTGCTCTTATTGTGTGTGTGACCTTGGCGAAGTCCCTTCCCTGTTCTGGGCCTCAGTTGCTTTCTCCATAAAATAGAAGGTGGCCCTTTTCAGTTCTAGATCTCAGAGTCTAACATTGTGATGCTTAATAGGTCAGCATGGGAATTTTCTCTAACACTTTTCGTCTTTATTTAGAAAGACATCAATTTTGCATTGTTGAGTTGATCTTCCAGGTAAAAATGATGGATCTTTGCCCTATGGTCACCTGTGTGGAATGTCACTCTCCAAAAATAGCTCCACTTCAATATGCTAAAATGATTGAATTTCCATTATTAGAGATTTATTTCATAGTTTCATCATTTCAGATGTGGACATTACCTCAGGAGTCATGCCTCGTCCCTTTTACAAGTTAAGAAACAGGTCAGGGGGCAGCTAGGTGGTGCACTGGATGGAGCACCAACCCTGGAGTCAGGAAGACTGAGTTCAAATCTGCCTCAGACACGTAACACTCACTAGCTGTGTGACTCTGGGCAAGTCACTTAACTCCAATTGCCTCACCAAAAAATAAACAAATAAATAAATAAAATTAAAAAAAAAACAAAAACTGAGGTCAGAGAAGTTAAGTGACTTGTCCACGATCACTCAGGTAGTAAGTGGCAGAACTGAAGCTGGATCTGGGGATAAGAAGACCTGGGTTCAAATCTGCATTTAGACACTTACTAATTGTATGATCTTGGCCAAGTCATTTAACCTCTGTTTGCCTCAGTTTCTTCAACTATAAAATGGGGGTAATAATAGAACCTACCTCTCAAGGATGTTGTGAGGCTCAAATAAGATATATGTAAAGCACTTAGCATAGTGCCTGGCCCCAAGTAGGTGCTATATACATGATAGCTATTATTATTATTATAGAATAAATTATCTCTTGAAATAAGTGACTGTTAATCCTTAGTTCAATTTTGGAAATTTGAGGATTTTTTTTTCCCTAGTGACCATTCAGATTTGTCAAAATAATCAGAGTTCATGAAGTAGAAAGGGTTTGCTAAGCCCAGGACCATGTTTCTCTTCTTTGCCTAACGTCTAATTCCATGCATGGGCTCTGCTCAAACCTGGCAAGAGGCAGATCTGTCTAGCGTTAGGTTTCTTGATCAACTCAGACAGGCAACTTAAGTCCTTTGACATTGGATTGAAATTAATCTTGGAAGAAGTTGCTAATGGCCTCTTGTTTTCAACTCAACTCATCTGCTTTTGGGAAATGTACAGTCCCACTTCTTGCTGCAGAATAAGATGTCACGCACCCTTCCTTAGATCCATACGTGGCCCTTGTGTAGGAAAAGAAGTTCACCACAGGACCCACCCACTTCTCTGGACAAATTGCATTGACTGGTTATAAACTGTAATGGTCCAATTAGAACTCCCACAATATGTCTGGATAGCTACAGTTTCACGAACCAAAATAAAAACAGCAGAGAAACCAAGACTGCCCCATAATGTTGCAGCTAAGTGGTAGAGGCAGTGCATAGATTGCTGGACTTTGGGTCAGGAAGACCTCAGTTCAAATCTCGCCTCAGCCCCTTAACTAACTGTGTGGCATGAGGTAATCATTTAACCAATTTCAGCTTCAGTTTCCTTATTGGTAAAAAGTGGGTTGGAATCGCACCTACCTTATAGGGTTGTTGTGAGGATCACAATAGATAACATGCAAAGTACTTAGCAAAACTTAAAGCACTATACAAACTATCATTTTTTCTATTATTATTTTACTCCTTTAGTATGCATAATGCATGATTGTAACACATGGAACAATGGTCTCCAAAGAACTGAAAGTGAATGTTATCAAAAGGATAATGGAGATCTTGCCCAGCGGGCAGGAGGAGGCAGTAAAGCAGTACGACAAAACAATTAGGAAGAAGAACCACCACGAAGCAGTCCCATCAAACTAAGTACATATGATAAAGAAGATAGGTTAGTCAGGAGGCAAGAGAAAGGGATAGATAGCCATTGGACTGTCTCTGTGCTCCCCAGCATCCTTGTGATATTAAGGGATGTGCAGACAGGTCCCTGAAAGATCCAGCAGACCTCTTGGGGGGTAACTTGGAAAAACATGGACAAGGGTCAAAGAAGATGGTCAACTATGGATAGATTGCAATCCACAGCAAAAGAGGGAATATCCACATTGATGAGATCATATATCCACCTGAGTATTTTGGAAGTATCTATTCAGTGATTCAATTAGTTATCTCAGTCAATATTTACCATGCTTTAAAAAAAAAAAAGCTAAAAATGTATTGGTAACCTTTTCTAAATGACCTTCTGTTAGTCTCCCCCAGCATTGGGTTTGCATTTCTCCTGTGCACTTAACATATTATATTTTACACTACAGTTATTTGTATACCTATCCTATCTTCTTAAATAGCTATTTGTGTACTTGTTTTATTTCCCTTACTGAAATAGTAGGCATGTTCTCAACAGAAAATAAGTATCATTCTAAAGGAAGAAAAGAAAAGAAAGAAAATGGAAAGGAGGGAGGAAAGCAGATGGAGGGAAGGAGGAGATGAAAGGTGGAAAAGAAAGAGAAAAAAGAAAGAGAGGGGGGAAGGGAAGAAGGAGGAAAGAAAGAAAGAAAGAAAGAAAGAAAGAAAGAAAGAAAGAAAGAAAGAAAGAAAGAAAGAAAGAAAGAAAGGAAGAAAGAAAGAAAGAAA